AATTGTTTTCCATGACCCTTTGTTTTCTTGTTTTCGAGAGATTTTGAAATGAAACAGGTAGAAAATGCTAATAGAGAAGTGGCTAGTATGAAAATGGACAAGCCAGTTAGAAAGAAAAAGAAATATGCTTTTAATTTAAAATCAGATTATTCAATTTCTGACTGATTTTAATCACAATTACCGTAAAATGCGTTTTCTCAAGTTTTTATTTATAAATTCCAATTTTTGAATAGTTCCTTAGACTTTTCGGCTCAGTAAATGGTAAATACAACGTTAGAATTCTTTAGCACAAATGCCATACTGCGGGCTATTATACCAAACAATACTTATACAAAAACAATGGTGATAAAATAAACCCCCCCGACACATTAGAAGACCCCCCACCCCTGTGGCAGAGATGACCCTCCCTTGGATCAACGAAGTGAAGGATAGATGAGAAGACCCACCCATCTCCTCTGACGATCCCCTTAGAAGCAGGTGAGCAGGTCCTCTAATCTATCCTTTGGGTTGTTGATTCAAGAGAGGGTCGTCTCTACTATAGGGGTGGGGGGTCTTCTAATGTGTCGGGGAGTTTAGGTTAAAATCAGTCATTTCTTGATTGTACCGATTAAAAATTGATTTTCAGGTTTAAAGACAGATTTCATTTTATTTTAATCAATTCTAAATCATAAAAAGCAGATTTTTTTGGTAAAAACTTTCACGAAAGCTGATCCTGAATGTTCAAAATATGCAAAACCTGAGTATGTTTTTTGTGCAACGGCGACGGCTCATCCGCTCGGCTTACACCTCTAGTTATTATAAGTAGGCATTCGATTAAATGGTGAATAACAATCGGGTCCACAATTGAAATATCAACATATGAAGTAGAACTTGACAATCCATACATCATGACTTAGAGAAAGTCTATTGCTGTAAGCCTATATAGATCGTGTTCTGTAGTAATATATCACTGAAAAATCTATAATTCTTTTTTTTTTCAGACATGTCTATAACAATATTGGTTTGATACTAATTGAAGTTTTCTGATCAACATTGGATAGGTACTTAAATCATACGAGATGGAGACAAATTCAAAGGATTTTGATCCATACAGTCGATTAATTATAGTTTGAAGATTCAAGTTAGCAATCCACAAATTCGGAAATTGTAACATTTTGTAATAAAGAAAACCTACATGATTGCACATTGTTGGAGGATTCTGAGCATGATGAAAGTCTAGAGGTAATATTGGCTAAAGTAAGGGAAACTTTCGCTTGTTCTTTTTTTGTTTTGGAGGGAGCAACATTAATATAGGATGATTGCGAAAGCTGAAACTAGATGTACCGAAATATTACGAACAAACAAAATTTTGAATATCCGTTTTCGGATTAATTATTGTTTGTTAAACATACCAGGACAACGATTTCCACAATCTTTTGTTTCATATTTTGCATGATTCCTTTTAGGATCAAGTATTTGTGAACGAGTAGCATCAAAACAATAACATTTATTCATATTTATAACAGCTAAATTTGTTTTTAATGTTTGACAAACAGATAAACATAATTCATGTGTTAAATGATTTGATATCATTATTGGTAAACCAATTGTTGATGGTTTAGTATAACAAATTTGTGGAGAGTTAAAACCAAGCATTGTTTTTGTTCTACATAACACATGTCTTGGTTTCGAACAATTATTGATTTGAATCTTTTCTAAAATAGAACTTCTTTGTTTTTCGTCGATTATTGAACGTGTCCAAAGTAAACATGAATCATCTTTTATGCTTAAATTATTATCGTCATTTGGATTAATCATTTGAAATTCATTTATAGACGAGAGATTGACATCAACATTGGATACTAATGATGGAACATCTTTCATATATAGGCTAATTGACTGAAATGGTCCAAATTTTGTTTCAGTATTTGATGCATCTAAGAAAGAATTATTGTAATTAACATTAGAAATCATATATAATATGTTGTTCTTCATTAAATTCTATGTGATACTTGGAATCTTTGTATCATAACTCATGTTTGTCAGATCATAGCTATTTCCATTTTGTTATGAAAATTATTGACGTTTTTTTTAATATTTTTAATATTCATATCTACGAACAATGTATTTAGTAAATTTCTAGACAATTACTAAAAATGAAGATACTCATGTGCTACTATACAGTGTATTCCGTTGTAAGTCGAATAACTTCGGCTAGAAAACAGATAGAAACCTGCGATTTTCAGTTTTGGAAAGAGCGTCATCAACTTTATGTGGAAATATGAAAAAAGCGATATCACACTGAGTCTCGGGGTTGCCTACCTGTGAAATTTTAGCAATTTATCTAGGCGATGAAAATCCGTTTGGTATTGGATTTTTTTGACGTAGATTTGGTAAGGCAGATGATTTTCTACTATTTGCCACCAACCCCATATTTCTAGCTTTTACTGTTAAGGAGTTATGACCGTTTTACTGAATTTCAGGTCGGTGGCAAGGGATTTATGAAAAAATCAAATTCAAGAATTTCGATCTGAAATTTTGCCCATAGATAAGTCTACTAGTCATTAGAAGCACCTGAAAGTTTCAGCCAAAACAAATGTTTCTTTCTCGAGATATTGAATTTCCACTAAATAATCACTTTTCACAGACAGGTCACACAAATCGAATTTATTTGAAAACCAGATAGACGATCCTAAGACTCGATGTAACAGCACTTTTTTCATATTTCTATATGAAGTTGATGCCACTCTTTCCAAAACTGAAAACCACAGGTCTGTAGCTGCTTCCTAGCCAGAGTTATTCAACTTACAACGGAGTGCACTGTTCATTGAAATGGATATTAGTATAGGTATATTTCAATCGAATAGGTTTTTTTCAATTCTGAACAATTCCTGAATAAGTCCATATGATTCAAACCAAAAAAAAAATCAGCAGTAGGCCATTTGGCCTAATGTGACTGAATAGTTAGCTATCTTCTAATCGTCATTATAGTGCAACACACTCATATTTGTTCTCGAAGTGAAATATCAACAGTAGTATGAATAAATATACAATATGAAAATCGAACTGAACCCCTCAAATATATTACATAATCTCAATTGTCTACTACTTAATTATTTTATGAATCAATGAAT